GAAGAAAAATTTCCATAAACCAAGAAAAAGGGTAAACCGGTGAGATAGGTAGTACTAGTAACTGGCTCATTGGTGACTAAGTACTTGTGGAGCTATATATGTGTAAAGACAGTAAACTTAACTAATAGTGGGCTTTCCATGTATGCAAATGCCAACCCCTTGCAGCATCAGGTTAAATTAATCCTGAATAACTAAGCACTTGTAAAACAATCTATTTGAAAATAAAATTTAAAGTACAATACAGTGGACATGAATATAGAGCTCATGGCTCAAATATTGGTAGTATTAATAACAGTTACTTTATACATGGCCTTGATATTATAAGGTAGTTTTCAATGTTATAAATAATACTGTAGTTTTGAAATCAATACATCAAAAAAGAAAAAAATATATATTTGGCAATACAAAGAAGTTTCCAAATAACATTCACGTGAACAGTGTCAGTATCTTCTGCTATCCTTTTTTTTTCTTTTATTCCACAGTGAAAGCAACTGGCGCAACATGTAATAGGGTTAATTTTTTTTTTTTTTTTTTTTAACTAAAGGTATAGAGAAACATAGTAGATCTAGTCTATTTTATTGTAAGACTTTGTCAAGTATAAAAAATGTTTTTACTTAGACATTTTACAAAATTATAAATGTCCCCGCCTTTATTTGTTTTTCTTAGAGTTTCCTGCTGACTTTTCTTCTCTCTGAGGCCAAATAAGAAAACGGAGAGAAAAAATTCCCATAAAAAGAGTTTGTATCATCCAGCAGCATGTAACACCTGAATCTAGCTTCAACTTTTGGCAATAGTAGAGAGCTAATATAGACTCAAAAGCATGGATGGCAACTGTAGACAGAGTCCTGAAAAGAAAAGAAAAGAAAATTATGAAAACGAGAGAATACATATCACACCTTCCTGGTATGTTAAATTTACAAGATCTAATCAAATAACACATATTTACTAAGTAGCCTGAATTAACAGCAAGAAAGTAATTCTGCAGAACGTACAACTGCTTCATTAGGTCATTATTTTCTGTGCCGACCCATGAAATAAACTCTGCAACTCGACCAAAGAACACTGGAGAAACTCCTTTAGGATCTAGCCATGCCATCTGTTAAAACAAAAAAAAATACAACAGAGATAAGCATCCATATATGAAAATAAAGTTCCTAATAAAGAATATGTATGTTTAAATATATGCATAAATGAGTATGTTTAAACATAATTACAATTAACAAACTTGTTACTTCAAGCTAAATATGCAATATTAAAACAGCGCAGATAAAATTTGATCTTATCTAATATATTCTACAGTAAAATGAGTAATTTAACTTACCACCATGAGATACATCGCAGCTCCAACCATGGCTATGATGAGCGGGTTGACAAATTTGAAATAAGATGACGACAATTTCTTGTACTTTCCCATTCTTCCAGTCTGAAGATTAAAAGAAATTTTATACATAAGTATGAAAGTAATAATGATAATGACAGTAACAACAAATAAGCTACAGTCATGACAATACTGGTTTCACATGAATATATATAAAATAAAAAACTAAAACTAATGAAGGAATTAGTCAAGTTTGTGTGCTTTTCTATCATGCAATTTATTTTCAAAAAAGGGCTTATGAATAATAGATCTCTCTAAATTTACTATTAAGAGTGAATACACTAAAATGAACTACTGGAAGTTTAAAAAACAATTGGAAAATGTTTAGAACACTGCACACAGGTGGAGAAAACCCATTGTATGGAACTACGGGAATTAGACACCATTTGATTTAAAAAATAAATAAATAAATAATAATAATAAATAAATGAATAAATAAAAATAAGTATCAGAAAATTAAGGCCACTCTGTCTCAATCTCAATCTAAATAGGCAATGCGCAGTGCACTGATAAGCACATATCACACATATGTATGGTTGGCTGTTATAGGTTGGGGAAAGGATTAGGGTATATGTGGCAGTGTTGGTGTTTGTGAAGGAGTTTATAATGTAATCTGTTTGTTCAGTTTGTCAGTGAAGGAATCAAGTGTTCTTGCTTCAATGACGAGTTGTGGTACCCTGTTTCAGTTGTGTAAGGTACATGAATGTGCTGTTTGTAGGTATTTCTTAATATCCACAAGGTTGTTTGTGATATCGTACATGACTGAAGCACAGGTTTTCTTGTGTCAAACAGGTCCATGTTTATCTTCTTTTTTTTATGCAAGTTGTAATACCAGGTATATGTGTGTATCGTGTGTAATAAACCTGGCAGCCTTACTGTTGATCTGTTCGAGCTTCTCAATGTTGTGCTTGGTGTAGGGGTCCCATACAGACGTACAGTACTTGTGTTTTAGGCATGCAAGTGTATTGTAAGGGATGTGTTTGATGTCTGTTGTACAGTTGTGTAGGTTCTTCCTCAGACACCCCAGTGTTCTTTTTGCTTTGTTTGTGATAGTCAGTGTGAGTGTTAAAATAAAAAACTGTCTAAGAGGATGCTATAAGTATCATTTGAACTCTAAGGTAATTAGAGGATGCTGTAAGTATCATTTGAACTCTAAGGTACTTAGAGGATGCTGTAAGTATCAGTTGTTGGTTGTGTAGAGAGTAGGTGTATTGTATTGGTGTATATGATCTGGTGAAATGGAGTACTTTGCATTGATCGGTTCTGAAAGTCATTTGCCATGACCTTTCCTAGTTCCAGGGCGTGTATGTCGTGTTGGAGTAGTCTGCTGTCATCCTTGGTTTTAATTGGTTGTAATAAAAGACAGCCTTCATCAAATGTCAAATGATGCACAGTTAAGTAGGACATGTTGGAACCTGCACATCAATAAAACAGTGATCCAGTGAAAACTTGGTCCTGTGATCCTGTAATATTGTAATTTAAGTGTCAGTCTTCTGTGAGGAACCTTGTCGAAGGCTTTGGCAAAGTCGAGCAGTATGGCATTAATTTGTTTTGTGTCGCTTTTCAAGTTGTCAAGCAATGCCATGATGGCTAGTGATTTTTTAAGTCTCACATGAACATTTAGGCTTAAAACCATGTTGTAAGTCTGTAAGAATGTTGTGGGTGTCAATGTGATCATGGTGCGTATGACGTGTATCAAAGTTTTGCAAACAATTGATGTGAGGGAGACGGGGCAACAGTTGGTTGGGTCTGTTTGGTCGCCTAATCTTGAAAAGGGGTGATGTTTCCACAAGCCAGTCTACAAGCAGATGCTTCAGATGAGTGATTGGGTGAAAAATGGATTGTAGGACAGGAGCAACGGGCCGGGGCGCAGGACTTCAAGATTATGGCAGGGATTTGGTCTAGTCCGGTCACTTTATTTGGCCTAGTTGGTCAATAGTTTCAGGGTGCTGTTGGTGATATCAATGCGGCAGGATTGGGGGATGTGGGCTATCTGGCATGTCGGGTGTTATATATATCTTCATGTGTAAAAAATGGATTGGAAGTGAGTGTTGAATAGGCATATAAATGTGTTCTTGGGTACAGCCAGACGTATTTACAAGACTGCGATTGCTGTAGTCCTGTCATGTTGTATAGATACTTCAATCCATCGTAACTTAGAGAAAGACTTGTCTTTAACCAGTTGTTTCCCTACGCACATTTGTTTTGCAAGATGCCGTACTAGGCTATGGAGATGTGTATTGACCGGCAACTACAATGCATTCATTAGAAATGCTGAGTTTTGTATTAAGGATTCGAAAAAGTAGATCAATCTTCAAAATTTACATCTATTGGAAGTGTCTGTATGTTTGTGTGCATTCAATATTTCTGAATGTCCGCCATAGTCACTTGGGAGAACTAGGGAGTATTGAACCTCAGTGAAGTATTTCTCTGCTGGTATGTGTACTATATTAAACCATACGATGTCGAGTCCATGAGTCGTGTTTAAAGTTATCAGTACACTAAGAAGATAAAAGTCTTTGCCTGTTAGGGGGATCTTGATTGCAAAAAGTACGTTCTATACCTAGCTCAGAAGTTATGATCATACCTCTTTCGCTTGGTCCTAAGGTATCTGCCTGCAACTAAGATATATGTCATCGTGGGCCGCTACTTTAGTCCTTGGATAAGTCTAGTACATTCTTTATATTAGTCTACAGAACGTTGTTAATTGTGAGAGGATATTCATCTCCTTTCACTCTTCTTCTCGGTTCCAGAACATCGTGCCATATGGCGGTGCTGTCTCTAGGGTCACCAGATGAGCCTATCCATGGTACTCTTCCCTTATCCAAGTTTTTTGTGTCGTCAGTTGNTGCGAGGAGATATATATAACCAAAGGTAAACAGAAAGACCAGAATCCGAGTCTTATTTTGTAAGAGCCAAACCGGCCGGAAAGGAAGATGCGAGGCGTTTTTCAAAAACACCGTTTTTACTTTTTCCTTCCTTTTCAGTCTCGTCCTCTTCCTCCTCTCTCTTTCTTTCTTTCTTTCTTTCTTTCTTTCTTTCTTTCCTTCTCTCTTTCTTTCTTTCTTCTCTTTCTTTTCTTTCTTTTCTTTCTCTTTCTTTCTTTCTTGCTTTCTTTTTCTTTTCTTTCTTTCTTCTTCTTCTCTCTCTCTTTCCTCCTTCTTCTTCTTCTTTCTCCTTTTCTCTTCTTTTCTCTCTCTTCTCTTCTTTCTTTCTCTCTTTTCTCTCCCTCCTCTCTTTCTCTCTTCTCTCCTCTCTCTTCTCCCTTCTCTCTCTCTCCTCCTCTCTCTCTCCTTTTCCTCCTTCTCTCTCTCTCTTTCTCTTCTTCTCTCTCCTCCTCTTCCCTCGCTCTCTTCTCTCCATGGATTCTCTCTCGAATCTCGTTTTGTTCTCTGCCCCTCTTCTCTCTCTCTCTGCTCTCTCTCTCTCTCTCTCTGGTTCTGACTTGCTACGGCTAGTCGCCTCAACTGGATCTCTCTTTCTTTCTCTCTCTCTCTCTCTCCTCTCCTTTCCCTCCCTCTCTCTCTCTCTCCTTGTTCTCTCCTCTCTCTCTCTTCTCTCTCCTCTCTCTTTCTCTCTCTCTTTCCCTCTCCCTCTCTCTCTTCTCTCTCTTCTCTCTCTTCTCTCTCCTCTCTCTCTCTCTCTCTTCTCTCTCTCTTCTCTCTCTCTTCTCTCTCTTTCTCTCCATGGATTCTCTTCAATCTCTTCTCTTCTCTCTCAATCTCTGTTCTCTCTCTCTTCTTTCTCTCTCTCTCTCCTCTTCCCTCTCTCTCTCTCTCTCTCTCTCTCTCTCTTCTCTCTCTCTCTCTCTCCTCTCTCTCTCTTCTCCTCTCTCTCTCTCTCTCTCTCTCTCTCTCTCTCTAAGACATTTAGAGAAAAGACAGTTTAAAGAGTATTTTTATGGTAAGGTGTGAGGGCGAGAGAGAAACAGGGCTAAGGCGATGGAGAGAGGAATAAAGGATAACAGCGGGGTAAGTGGATGGAAGAAGGGGGATAGAAGACAAATAAGGGAGAAGGGGAGGGAGGAAGGGAGGGATGTAAGGAAGGAGGGAGGGAGGGGAGGAGGGATGTAAGGAGGGGGGAGTGGAAGGAGGGAGGGGGGAGGGATGTAAGGAGGAGAGGGATGTAAGGAGGGAGGGAGGGAGGGGAGGAGGAGGGATTGTAAGGAGGGAGGGATAGAAAAAAGCGAGGGAAGGGAGGGAGGAGGGAGGAAGAGGGAAAGGGAAGGAATGCGAGCGAGCGAGCGAGAGAGAGAGAAAGAGACAGAGATAGGGAAAGAAGAGTGAAAAGAAAGATGAGAGTGAGAGTGGGGAGGTCGTGAAGATCTAAAGCAAAAGAGAGGGAAGGAGGAGGATTAGGAGAGAACGAGAGAGTGAAAGAGAGAATCGGAAGAGAGAGAAAGGAAAAGGAAAGGAAGAGGCAGAAGAGAGAGTGAGAGAGAGAGAGAGAGAGAGAGAGAGAGAGAGAGAGAGAGAGAGAGAGAGAGAGAGAGAGAGAGAGAGAGAGAGAGAGGAGATGACTGGCTGAGGAGGGAGATAGAGTAAGGTGAGTGGGGGGAGAGAGGGGGGGGGATGCGCCCTCCAATATCTGCCGCAAGTTCGCCCTAGGATTAATCTGGAAATGTGGTCGACCCGCGTTTTAATTCTGATATTCGCGGTGTGTGTGTGTGTCTGGCTGGTTGGTAGGGGGGGGGTAGGGGGGCAGCGAAGGGAGAGGAAATGGGGGAAGGGATGGGTAGGAAAAACAGACCTCCTCCTCCTCCTTCCTCCACCCATTCCCCCGCCCTCCTCCCTATATCCCATTCCCATTCCTCCTTCTCCTTCTCCTTCTCCTTCTCCTCCCCCTCCCCATTTCCTTCTCCTCCTATCTACCCATTCCTCCTCCTCCTCCTTCCCTCTCATTCCCCTTTTTCCCCTTCCGTCATATCTCCCCCCCCTTCCTCCCCTTTGCCTCCCCCCCCCCCCCACACCTCTCCCTTGTTACTCATTTAAAGTCGTCGCGAGTGGAGAAACAGAACAGGCAGGGGGTGGGGGGAGGGGAGGGGACGTGGCGTTTCCCCAAATACCGGCTTTTGTCG